ACAAAATTTTTATGTATATATACAAAATATTTTTTGGAAATGCATTTTTAAATCTTTAGTAAAAACTTTGAAGCTTCTGAAATATTCATGATAGCCTTAAAAAATACTTCTCCCCCAGGTAACTTACATCCATTATCTCTACTGACTTCAGATCCAACATTCAACCATGTATAAAGTATGCACTGCAGATTCTCACAGGGAGAGTGCTACACAACAGCACCAGTGACGAGATGGAGAATCCTCATGGTTCTGATTTTAAAAAAAGGTGATTAAGTACTAATCCCACTGAAAAAAATATGCCCATCTAAGTTGTACACTGCCTGCTCAATTTTGTGTTAAATGATGATTTTTGACATAATTCATACTTCAAAAGCAAGTATTAGTAGTATTCAATGTAAAAGTTATTTATGCCACCTGCTTATATGTGTACAATACATAACGTGTTTTAAGTTCTCTATGGTATTTCTAGGGACGAATAACAGATTCGTAACTCCTAACCTCACAAATCTGAACACTTCTGAATTTGTAATTTTATCCGCCATTTTATAGTGATTAGCTTTGGAGTTTTAGTTTTAAAAAAGGGAACACACAGCATTTTAATGCTAAGAAACTGCATGTAATTGTTCAATCAAATCAAAATCACAAGCAAAGAATCATGACTGAAGCAATAGACCTCAAATGTTTGGGAAAATATATAAAAAATTGCATAGATTAATATATTACCTGCTATTATTCTGAAGTGACAAAGTCTGTATAAATAATGTACTTTCATTGTGCAATTACTTGTGCAATATTGCAATAGCTAAGGTAATCTCATGCTATTTGCTCAGTAGAAAATTTCCATTTGAGGATTCATGAGTTTCTTCATAATTGTCAAGCAACTGGAGCCAGGAATTTCTACAGATCTTCTGTGTTCCAGAACTCTCATGATAGATTAAAAAGAAAGCTACACACTATTTTTTTTTTCCCCCCACTTCAGCCTGAATCATCTTGCCTAATTCCCATATGTGAAAAGTATCATCTGTTGCTCCATCACCCTCTGTCCCCTTCACTCTGCAAATGGAATACATGTTGCCAAGAAGAAAAAAGTCCGTATCAAACAGGTTAAAATGTTATGATCATTCAAAATCTCAGCTAACACTGTAAATAGTGAAATAAAGGCAAAATAAATTTATTCTTTTTTAAAGAGGCAGCTTTTCATGACCACTGCATAATGTGATGAGTTTTCAACATCTGAATTTCCCATAAAGATAAGCATTGCATGTCAGATTCTACTATCCAATCTCACAGAGTTCGCTAGTGCAATTTCAGCAATATCTTTTAAATCAGAACTGACGCAGGCATGTGCATGTGAAAAAAGTCATAGAAAGAAATTATTTTGAGGAAATAAAATTGACTGGTTGATTCAAAAGCAAAATTCACTCCCATTGTTGAACCAAATGACCTAGGCTTAAACCCTGAACAAAACAGTTTACATTGTTTCATTCTTCCAAATGCAAATCTTAACATTGCTTAAAAACACTTTTCCTAAAATTTGCTTAAATGTTTAACATCTTCCTCATCTCTACAACCCTTGCTAGTAAGTTTAATTTTACAGAACTCCCATTTATATACAAAACAGTAGTTCGTAAAGGAAACTAATAATTATATAATTATTATATTAGGTTCTTGATTGATTGCCTTCTCATGGCACTCAGGCAAGTGTACAAATACAAAGAAAGATACTGCTTTATTTTTCAGGGCCCTACTGAATTGCATCTTCTTATTGTTGCTGGTGCAAAGCAGTATGATTTTCCTGTGCCATATTAGGCAAATCAAAATCTATGTTACTCTGTGCTACAGTTCAGAAGCTGCACATCAGCTGCCTGTGCAAAAGGACAGGAACAAGAAGCCGGGGGGCAAACCCCAGGAGTTTTAAAACAAAGATTTCATTTCGTTTCGTGTTCTCACATTTCTCTAGGTTCTAAGAGCAACCTAATTGAGTTGGACTAGATATCCCCTATAGGTCCCTTCCAACATGTATTATTCTATGATCTTCAGTCACAGCAATAAGGAAGAATGGCTGTATTTAAATCTTTCTTATAGAGATGTTTCTGGGCTCTTATTCAAATCTGAAACTTCCACTAGCTTTGCAAATATCATACCCACACCCTGTTAGGCATGAATTGATGTTTGATGTTTGCCCTAAATCCATTTTTTCCACTTCCATTGCAATACACTGGAAATAAATGAAAAGCAAAATTTATACTCAATTTTATTAGCTCAAAACAGTTTACACTATAACAAGAGCTGTGATACACAAGGAAATGCATATGCCAGGCATCCTTTGTATGTAGTACAAACTGAAGGGTACCGTTCCACCAGTGCATTACACATTTCCAAAAATAAAAATCAGTGACAAGTGATGCAAACATGAAACGGCAATACTAATCAGCATGCAATGCTTTAAAAGTTTACAAAGTCTACATTACTTCACAAAAAATTCACAAACTATACTGAGGCATCCAAAATTTATTTTTAATCTTGTGAGTGTAAAGAACAGTTCAAACATTTTAGAACCATTTCAAATGCTGGTAACACTCTGGATACTTTCTTGTCTTTCAGAGCCAGATGCTACAGTATCAGTTCCAGAGCGGCTTACTGTCTGCAGTCTACTTTGGTCTCCTCTTGCTCCATCATTTGGAATTGCCATTTCATTTGCTCCAGGGATGTATTTCTTTGAGGAACAATTTTTGCTTTTTTCACCAGAAGCACCACTGGATATTCTGCTACCATTATTTTTAGTATGTACACTGGAATCAGAAAATGAATGCAGACTGGTAACCAACTGCCTTGCTGAATGATGTTCTTTTGCATGTTCATTTTGTTTGACTCTCCTCTCAGAGAATGTTGGAGTACTATTTCGAGGCTTATCCTCTTTATTTTGGTTAATTGTTTGAGCTTCATTTTCCTTCAATGAGCCTGGCTGGTACTGTTGCCCAGCAGTCTGAGGTTCTTGTATTTCTCTAAGAGCAGAAAAGGCATTATTCACAACCATCTGGGATTGAAATGTGCCAGGAAGAGAAACTTGGATGTCCCCAGCTCTGTTCTGAAATAAGAGATTCCAGTGAAGATACTGACACAACCAGAGAAAAAAATTCCAGTATTGCAACTACCATATACTACAATCTGCATAGCAAAATAAAGTCTTTACATAATATAGAAAAGATTCAGAGAGAATAGCTATCACATAACCTTTACTACCTTTCAAAGCAAGGAAGTTTCATAAGATTGTTAGGGTGATAATGACATGGAGCAGGCATATTACAGTTTCACATCTAGCTTGAACTTTATACTACAGAAATGTGTCAGCTATACTGAAGCAGCCAAAGCCAAATCATGTCTATCATTCTGAAATACCTGCAATTCATTATGTTTGCTCACAGTTCACAGTAGTGTGATCCCAATAGTCTATCCCACAATACCTAGCTGCTAGAAGAATCTGAACTAACCAATACTAGGAGATAAGCATGAGAGTAGTGTTAAGTGCTAGTTGAAGCTTTTTGTAATCATCCTTTGCCATGTATACTTAAAAAAACCTTTAAGCTCAGGCTTCTAAATGTAGATGAATTAGAAAAACAATGATTCAAACAAACTGCATGAACAAGTTAATGTCACAGTGCAGAATTGTCCATCAGCTGAAACCAGTGGCAAGCCAATCTATAACAAATGTCAAAGAACCTATAATGAGAATTACTCTATTACTCCAAATAATTTTAGCAGATTCAAACTGCAAAACTGGAAACTGCTTTGCACACCATTAAAAAAACCCCAACACTTTCTACCATCATGTTTTGGAAGCTCATGGTGTTCTTGAGGAATTTGGAACACTTAATAGGGAAGACATTGGGTATAAGAAACATACCGGAATGCAGAATGATTCTTACCGTGATGGTTTTATCCAATTTGGACAAGGCTGTAGGCTGCCAGTATCTTAATTTTTAATTGCCTTACAAACTTAAGCCTGGTCTTTTTTTTTTTTTTTTTTTAAGGGAACTTTAGTACTTCCCTTGAAAATATCCAGGTTTTCTATGTATTGACTATAGAGTATAAACTAAAACCATATCTTGTTAATATTGCAAATTTGTAGTTGCCTGAAATTCATGGCATGGCCCACACAGAAATCTAATGGCACTGGACACATACACTGCAATAACTTAAGAAATTCATGCTTTTCAATAGGCATATTGTACTACACTCTATTATCAGTCTTAAGTTTTTTACAACCACTATACACCATTATTAAATGTTTCTAAAAAACCTACTCATGGTATTTTCCATTTTTAATGGATGCATAGTACTACTGGAACTTCATATTTCAGAATAAGAAACAACATCATTACCACCAACACTTTCTTTAGAACATTACAACATACTATGCTTTCTGTTCTAAAAGGTGATCACTTAAAAAGCTTACATTAATCATTGAATGATTATAATCTGTATAAATACATCTGCAGCAAAAGATTGCAATAACAACTTCATGGATCATTTGGTAATCATTACTTTGTCAGAGGGGGATAAGAGCAGAAAAGTACATTAAATAGCACCAAGTACATTGCCACTAACATTCCCTCTATAGACTTACTTTGCTATTCTGGGTATGTTCTTGTCTTTCTTCTTCAAAAGACTTCTCCTTTAGTAGGTTAGCAGGCTTACTGAGAGTAGAGTTCATTTGTGGATGCCCCAAAAGACCAAAATCTGACTGGTCTATCCCAGCTAATACAGCAAGTTGTCCAAGCCTGTAAAATAAAGTTTAATAGAAAATGAGACAAAAAATTCTTACCCTGTGAAAGATCTAAACATTCAAAACCAGAAGAAGAAACAGAATCTGCTTGAAGCTTTGAAGATAGTTTTCCCACTATTTTCTAAGAAGCCCAAAATAGCTTAATAAAGATGAGAACAAGTAGCTAAAGCTATTTTCCTATCTTTGTACAAATTATCCTGCAGGTTCAAAACTGTCTTCATTCAGTGTTATGAGGCTAAGAATTAAGTTCTCCCAGTTAGCACTGATCTCAGAGAAGGATGCTGGCAAGCAGATTCCCTGTCAGGCAGAACAAACATTAAAACTCTTATCATTCAAGCAGAAGATTGGTGCACATCTCCCAAACTAGCAAAATCTCTAACAGCCAAATCTAATTACATGCTTCACAAATACAGACATGTTATTTCACCTGCCAGCTTACAAGTTAGCTAAACCTACCACTTGGGTGTTTCAAGCCTCAGTAAGACGTAAGAAGTTGCAACCATCAATTGATAGCAGAGCATTAAACAGAGGCTTACTGAGAAGAGCAGTCTTTCTGATTGAGATTCTTTAACTTTCAGAGCAGCTCCCTATTACCATGAATAGATATAGGACCCAACTGAAAAATTTACTTTTCATGTAGTGAGAGAGCATTTTTTCCTTCCTCCAAAGTTTGAAATTAATTCTTAAAAGTAATGGCAACTCTACCAACTGATTGGCACAGAAGTAGAACACAGCCTCAGGGTGAACTTTACATTATTACAATTTGGAGGTGGATGGAAGCAAGAGGCAGGGACGGAAAATAAAATCTGTGGTCTTCTCTGAACATGCAGAGTAGACTACAGCATATCTTCATATCATTCCTTCATTCTCCTGGATGAGATTGCCATGCCCAGCTACATAACCTTTACAAAACAGGTTTGAGAACTTAAGCTGAAATTCTTTGACAAATGGGAAGGATGAACCATCCTCTGAGAAACTGCAGGTACAGTGGCAGAGCCTTAAGACAAACTTTAATCAATACTCTGTAAAGTATTTCAAGTAATAATAAACAATCCAGAATTTAAGTACAAAGGCCAGATTCATCCATCTAGATTTCTGTACTTCAATTAGTAAAAGGGGGCCAAAGGCAACAGGACATTTTCTGAAGCCAGTTAAACTGCATTTTGGGCCTTTTGTATTATGGGAATGCTAAGGGCCACAGGTGGTCCAATAAAGACTTGGAAACATGCTTTAATAGAAGCTTTCTTCTCTTTTGGAATGGGCTTCTTGAAAGCTTTTCCCAAAGACAGATTCAGCTGGACAGTGCTTGGATCATGTTTTTCCCACTGAGAAAAGACTAAACAGTAGGTACATGCAGTTAGGTTTTCTTCCTTTGCTCTTTGGGAGTAAAGTCCTAGAGATCTGGAGAGAGGAGGCAGCATACTTCATTGGAACGATAATTTTGGAAAGAGATCTCAGCAGAAACAGTAAGGCTTAAGTGAAGTGACAACCTACCCGGCATCTTTAAGGAGGTCTAAAAAAGCATGAAACTTTTGAAAAGAGTTCTCAATGCTGCCTAGAACACCTTCATCTTCCAAAATCATGTTGGTTACTGACTGTGCATGAAGAACCTCAGATAGGGAGATATTTAGATTTCTTAATCTTGCATTTTCAGTTTCCAGCTATGGGGGGAGAAAAAAAAAAGAGAAAAGGTAAAGTAATTTCTATCATTGTCAGTTAAAAAACAAAAAACCCAAAACCCAACCCTACCTTTGCAAGCCTATAGAGCAGTTATCACAAAGAGAAATACCCAAAGTAACTGACATAACTGATACAGAGCTTCCTGTACCAGAAATATTGAGGGCACTGTTACAATGAGCTCTGTGCAGGTTTGTTTATTCACAGCTGCAATTCTATGCTACCATAGTGAAATTGCTGCAGGCACCAAAACTGCTGGCTCAGCACTGTCTTCAGTATGTACAGAATGTTGCAGAGCAAGTGCAAGCAAAAAAATTAGCTTTCATATCAAGTTGTTTTGCATGTATTATATGACACATTAACACCAAAGAATTTATGTTACTAATTAAAAAACCTTAATGAAAGCCAATGCTCTCTTTATATTCACCCCTCTGTATCAGAGGGAATGCATACTACTGTATCTCTCCCCTGCACTGTGCATCCCAAAACTGAAAGTTTAAGATGACCAATTTTTCTTCACATGGAACATTAATCAGATCAATGACAAACTGAAAGTTAAATAACCGTAGGATATACAGGGTTTTGTGTTTGAGGAAGACATTAACTCAGACACTCCTTTAAGATTACAGCTATGCAATCACTGCTACCACAGGCTTTCCTTCTTACATCTTTCATGGAAGAAGGACAAAAAACTACATACCTGTGTTGTACACTGTAGCTGTTAAACTAGCATCAAAATGAACAGTTTTAGACATTAGTGCTACTTAGTTTATCCCTTCTCCTGAGAAAAGGTGCTAGGTCCAAGCAGTCTAGCATGACAGAGAAAGATTTGTCGCAGTGGGTATTTAGCCTAAAAAGCATTAAAGTGGTCAAACAACAGACATCCAGCAGAGCCCACTGGTGCACCTCACATTACAGGAGGACGGGGGTGGCTGCACTGAAGAACTACAATGAACCTGGTAGAGTGCAGAGTTCTTTGTGGATATCTGCTACCTGTACTGCAGGGTACCACTTGTTGCTCAAGTTCCAAAGGGTACCACCACTTCCATTTCACTGCAGACCACATCTAAGAACTAAACCCATTTGTTTACACTATCTTATACTCAACTCTGTTACAAGAAATTCTGGTTATTGCTGCAAAAGGATCGTTTTAGGTCAGCAACAATGGATGGAGGGGAAATAGACCTCACAATTTAACTGTGACAAGTTGTTAGTTTGGTTCTGTCATAATGCAAAACTGCACTTTACAACAACTGATGGCTATGGCTAACACACTGCAGAAAACCATCCGATGTTTTTATTGGCTGCAGAAACAAAACTTAAAAATCAAAGGGACAGAATAAGCCAATTAAACAGCATTTGCAACAAACAGCTTTTCAAGCGCAAGTCATGATAAAGAAGGTGGGAGACCTCAAAGAACTATCCATCTGCTGCAAACTGCAAACAGATTTAATCACTTTCTCAAGAAAAACAAACATCACGATGCCCCAGATTGTAAGTAATACACCAAATGAATGAAACACATTGAAAGAGTAGCTTGACCCGGAGTTCAAGGCTCTGGAATAGGATCAGAACAAACACACATTACTAAACACAGATTTCATCATTGCCCTTAGGCTAGTAAATGATCCATGTGACTTTGAACTGAAACTCTGGAAGGTACCACATTAGAGGTCATTGATAATTACTCCTCATTAAGCAAGTAGATAGTTTGATTGGTGCCTCCTTTAAAAGTAAAGATGATTAACAGTTAAGTATCATTACCTCCTTTATCCGTTCCTCAGCCTTTACTCTAGCTCTTTGTTCTTCCTTTAATTTTTCCACGCATTCTTCAAGCTCCAACTATCATAACACAGATAAACTATCATGAAATTTATGTCAAAATGTCAGATCAACATGCAGTATTATACAAAAACTCAACACGCACAATTAACAACAAGCACACGGCATTCAAAGCCATAACGTATCTTCTACAAAAATACATGACAGAGGTCTACCAGTACGTAACTCCAGGATGTGAAAAACTGACACAGGAAAAGTGGAAATAAGTGTGATTCACTTAGCAGATCTGCAATATAGCAATAGATAACACAAGATTATAGGCCAAGTCTCTCGGGCCTATGACATTACCATCAGGAATATATGTTCTTCTCTACTTCTTCTTCTTCCCCTTCACCTTTTCAAACTTCATTTTTAACTAAATATGTCTACTCCATCAAAAGCTCAAATTGGGCTCTAAAAAAAATCCTTAGTAGCCAGACCTAGATTTTCAGAATGTATTCGTCATCCAGGATTTTATTCCTTGTTACAGCAGTAAGAATACAAAATTCTGAACTGTAAGGACTGTACTCTTTCCAATTGGTTTCGCTCAGTTCTTCAGCAGAAAAAGCAAGTTTTCCACAGTCCCAAGCTGTTTGAGTTAAGCAGCTTAGTGTTAAATTAACAACAACAAAAACAAACTCAAACATCTAACACATATGTTCTAGTCTTATTCTTGAGATGCCTACATTTGTATTTTAACTTTTAGTTCTAAGCAGTGAATCTCTCAGTTTCAGTGAACAGTAGTCAGGATTTGATAAGCAATCACCACATTTTTTTGTATCAGAGCAGAGCATTATCATCATTACAGCATCTGAAATGGAAGAACAAACAGGAATTTTTGTTCTTGCATGCTGTGCTAGTTTTGGCTGGGGTAGAGTTAATTTTCTTCATAGTATCCAGTATGGGGCTCTGTTTTGGATTTGTGCTGGAAACAGTGTTGATAACACAGGGATGCTTTCATTATTGCTGAGCAGTGCTTACAGAGAGTCAAGGCCTTTTCTGCTCCTCGTACCACCCCACCAGCGAGTAGGCTGGGGGTGCACAATAAGTTGGGAAGAGACACTGCTGGGACAGCTGACCCCAACTGACCAAAGGGATCTCACATACCATATGATGTCACGCTCAGCATATAAAGCTGGGGGAAGAAGGAAGGGAAGGATGTTCGCAGTTATGGCATCTGTCTTCCCAAGTAACTGGTACACATGATGAAGCCCTGCTTTTTTGGAGCTGTCTGAACAGCTGCCTGCCGACAGGGAGTAGTGAAAGAATTCCTTGTTTTGCTTTGCTTGCGTGTGCAGCTTTTGCTTTACCTATTAACATGTCTTTATCTCAACCCACGAGTTTTCTCACTTTTACCCTTCCAATTCTCTCCCACATCCCACTGGGGGGAGTGAGTGAGCAACTGCATGGTGCTTAGCTGCCGGCTGTGGTTAAACCACAAGTGACTTAACAGTCTTCTAGTTCCAAAGGTGAAAACTGTTAAAATTACCAAGCTGCTCTCTTTTTCAGAGGGTAACCTATATGAATTAACAGTATACAAAGCTTCTCCGTCAAGGCCTTTTCTGCTCCTCGTACCACCCCACCAGCGAGTAGGCTGGGGGTGCACAATAAGTTGGGAAGAGACACTGCTGGGACAGCTGACCCCAACTGACCAAAGGGATCTCACATACCATATGATGTCACGCTCAGCATATAAAGCTGGGGGAAGAAGGAAGGGAAGGATGTTCGCAGTTATGGCATCTGTCTTCCCAAGTAACTGGTACACATGATGAAGCCCTGCTTTTTTGGAGCTGTCTGAACAGCTGCCTGCCGACAGGGAGTAGTGAAAGAATTCCTTGTTTTGCTTTGCTTGCGTGTGCAGCTTTTGCTTTACCTATTAACATGTCTTTATCTCAACCCACGAGTTTTCTCACTTTTACCCTTCCAATTCTCTCCCACATCCCACTGGGGGGAGTGAGTGAGCAACTGCATGGTGCTTAGCTGCCGGCTGTGGTTAAACCACAAGTGACTTAACAGTCTTCTAGTTCCAAAGGTGAAAACTGTTAAAATTACCAAGCTGCTCTCTTTTTCAGAGGGTAACCTATATGAATTAACAGTATACAAAGCTTCTCCATTCCTCTGTACATCTTGTATACAGGCACATATATGTAACATAGGACACTGCTTTTTGTACATACCTTATCAATCACTTTTACAGAGAAGCAAAGATCCAAATAGTACTGATATCCTTTGTTTACTATCAAAAACTTATTCAAGAGCATACTACTGCACTTCATACAAGCAAACAACTGAGAAGACTGGTGTGCAACAGAATGCACAGTAAAAAGAATCCTCCTACAAATGCAAAGAGGTCCTCACAGGTCTTATAAGATGTGAGGGACTTTTTCACCTGATTCAAAGATGCAGGTACTAAAGTATTCTAGATATAGCCCTCCCAGTGACAACTACTCAGAGTGAAGCTTATGGGTCTGTCACTACTGTCCAGTGAAGCCCACTCCTAAGATCCCCAGACTAGCACCAACCCAGCTAACCCTGGAACTAGGAAGCTAGTCATATCTTTTATCATCTGAACACAAGAAAGACTCTCAGAGGTCAGAAGGTACAGGAAAACCCCATTTCAAAGACAGTATTTGGAAAGAGATTTAGCAGTATCCAACTGTCATGATGTAACAAAATCACCTCCAGGCACAGGGGGGTCAGTAATCTCTAAGGAGAACCCTCAACAAATACCACAATCTTACTGCAACCTACCTCAGAACATGTGGAAATAGTAAGAGCTAGAAATCCTTTTATAGATACAAAAGCACAGCACAGAAAGTATCAACCACAATGTTCTACATTCACAACTTGACATGTAAGCTGGAATCCTGTAACCTAGCTTTGAAGATCAGTCAGAGGTACCACAGACTTGAAGAATTCCTACAGCTCCATTTATAGTGTGTGTGTGTGCATATGTATATATGTATTTTAAATTTTCTAGGGTGTAGGGTTTTTTGGCAAGCAACTCTACTTTAGAAACCTTAGTTCTATAGTATTTTTGTTGTGGACAGATTTTAGACAATTCTAAAGGTGACAGCACTGACCTTTTTCTTCAAATTGCTGGTTTGTATTTTCAAAGGGCAAAGGCTTAGAAAACAGTTAAATTATCAAGATTTTTTTGAAGAGAAATTTGGAGCTTTTGTAGTTTTATTTAAACGATTTTTCACACTGTAGACGTACAAAAGTCTCGTTATGGGCTGACTTCACAAAAAAATTAACAAACACTGCAGCTACATCTCACAAGCAGTATCAGAAGCCTACATTTAAAGGAAGATGGCTTGCACCTGTGCAAACATATGGTGACATATTTGTCACCATTAAATTACAAGTATATGACGCTCTGCTCTGGTGAGACCCCAGCTGGAGTACTGCGTCCAGCTCTGGAGCCTTCAGCACAAGAAGGACATGGACCTGTTGGAGCGGGTCCAGAAGAGGGCCACAAAAAATGATCCGAGGGCTGGAGCACCTCTCCTACGAGGACAGGCTGAGGAGTTGGGGTTGTTCAGCCTGGAGAAGAGAAGGCTGTGGGGAGACCTTACTGCAGCCTTTCAGTACTTAAAGGGGGCCTATAGGAAGGATGGAGGCAATCTTTTTAGTAAGGCCTCTTGTGACAGGACAAGGAGTAATGGTTTTAAACTAAAGGAGGATAGGTTTAGACTAGATATAAGGAAGAAATTTTTTACAATGAGAGTGTTGAAGCACTGGAACAGGTTGCCCAGAGAGGCAGTGGAGGCCCCATCCCTGGCAACATTCAAGGTCAGGTTGGATGGGGCTCTGAGCAACCTGATCTAGTTAAAGCTGTCCCTGCTCACTGCAGGGGGGTTGGGCTACATGACCTCTAAAGGTCCCTCCCAACCCAAAGCATTCTATGATTCTATATGTATGCTTTATTCTTTGATTTGCTTCTGAGAAATTCACTAGATTACACAATCCTCTAGTCTTTGTGCAGAGAAAAATTATTAAAATACATCAGAGAGCGCTAAATGTACATCCAAGCTACAAAACTGACCCTTCTAGTGGTGTAGTCCAGAAAGACAGCACTGACGGCCTTTAAGATGAAGATGAATAGCAAATACATCTGTAGCCCTCAGAATTACTGTATGCAATATGACTACTCAGCACTAGACAGAGGTATAAAACTGAAGTTTAAAAACTAAAAATACAAAAAACTTCAGTTACTAATTAGACATGTTTTTCTACTTGATTACATTGTTGTCATTTTTAAAAAAGAGTTATAGTGCAATCTCTACTTCTACATAATTCACATAGTATTAATGTGTAGAGTTACCCTGCTAAGTATATTAAGGGTGAAGTTCACCATGTATATCCTTAGTTAAAATTTCAAAATCTGGGAGTTTCCTCAACTACATTCTTCAGAGGCAATTCTGACATTTCAGATTCCCTCTAGTGGAAGGAAAGACTATTTATCAGTTCTTATTTTCCATTTAAGCAGAAATTAAGCTTTCCATTAGCCAAGGGATTTTTTTAAAAAATGAAAACACAACAATATTGTTTCACTAAGTAGTGTGCTTAAACCCCCTTTTTGAGCAGAAAGATGCAGAGAAGCTCTCACGGACTTACATACTTAAGTGAAAGTCTGGTCATTTAGTCACATCAAAGGATGTTTGGAAAGCTTTTCTGGCACAGTGGCAGCTTAAGGAGTTCCCATCTCTAACTGTTTATTCCCACTCCACAATCCCAGCGTTGTTCTAGCACAGCTCGTTGTCCCACTTTACTGAAAGGCTGTACCAAGGCCTGCTACAGCCAAATACACTGGATTACTTTTTAGCTAGATAGTTCCTCAAGTCAGCTCCCCACTCAAGCAGCTCTGCAGTAAGAGCTGTTTAATAACAGTACCTAAGCCCAATTAATGCAGATAAAAAAGGTCCTCCACTTCCCCTCTCACATTATCAGCCATAGACTTCTGCCACTTTGCATGCTTCAGTTCTGGAACACACCCAATCACATAAGCCAATGTGAGTCATTAAGACAGCTGAAAAACTAACCTGGAAAAATATCACTGAATGGTTGAGGTTGGAAGGGATGTCTGGAGGTCATCTGGTACAACCCCCTGCTCAAGCAGGGCCACCTACAACAAGCTACCCAGGACCGTGTCCAGATCTTTTTTTATCTCTAAAGAGGGAGACCTCCACAATCTCCCTGGCAACCTGTGCCAGTGCTCAGTCACCCTCACAGTAAAAGTGTTTCCTGATGTTCAGAGGGAACCTCCCATGTTTCACTTTGTGCCCACTGCAGGCTCAGGCACTCCCTGCAGTCGGAGACCTGGATGGCTGCATGTTTGTGCGGGAGCTCTGTCTGGGTCGCTGCATTCCTTCTGGCAATGGCTTTTGGGTGAGTGGAAAGAGCCTGGCTCTGCCTTCTTTGCACCTTCCCTTCAGTTATTCATATACGTTAATATGATCCCCCCTGGGCCTTCTCCGGGCTGAACAGTCGCAGATCTCTCAGCCTTGCCTCATAAGCGACATGCTCCAGTCCCTTAACCATCCTTGTGGCTCTTCGTTGGGACTCTCTCCAGTATGCCTGTGGCTCTCTTGTACTGGAGTGTGGCCTCACCAGTGCTGAATACAGGGGAAGGATCACCTCCCTCAGCCTGCTGGTAATGTTCCTCCCAATGTAGTCCAGGATGCCATTCACCTTCTTTGCCACAAGAGCACATTGCTGGCCTGTGTTCAACTTGGTCTCCACCATGACCCCCAAGGCCTATTCTGCCATCCTGCTTTCTCAATGGTCTGCCCTCAGCATATATTGGTGCATGGCGTTGTTCTTTCTCAGGTGCAGGACTTTGCACTTCTCCTTGTTGAACTAAACCAGTTTTCTCTACATCAGCAAGTTGAATCAACTTGCCTTATTATCAGATAAACATGAAAAAAGACACACGAGAGAAAAAGACTGAAAGAAGAAATGGAAAAGCACTAAGGGATGGAGGGGAAATAGACCTCACAATTCAACAGTGACAAGTTGTTAGTTCGGTTCTGCCATAACGTGAAACTGTGCTTTGCATCAACACAACAAAAAGGATGGGTAAGGCACGGACACAGTTTGAGACTGCTTAAACAGTGCTGTCAGATATGCAACCATGGCCTAAAAAAGTATTTTGGTTTTCAAACTCAGAAAATCAGGAAAACCTGGACCTTTATGAGCACAGGAAATTTAGAACCAGTTTTGGGGTAGACCCCTAAAATTTGTAGTTTTACCTCCCAGGAAGCTCAAATTAATCACAAATTATCCCATCCTTACAGTTGCTCTATACGTAATACTACAGGTAACACTGACAATGTGGGTCGATATGACAACTCTTCCCCAAAGCACAAAACAGTCTGCCTCTGCAGCGTGTCCTGAAAGTAATATCCCTCCCTCTCCAAACACCAAGAGTAAATACATCAAGTATTTCCTGAAAGCACCGTACTTGCTGCATAGAACTTTCTGGCACAATACGCACATGACATGGAATTGCATGATTCCAGACACAATGCTCCTGATAAGAGTGTTGAAGCCACTGCACAGCACAATGTCAATATATTGCACATCAACAGTAATATGAAATCACCAACAATGAAGAAGCTGGTATACAACTTTAAGTCCCAGCAATGTGTGAAAACCTTAAAAATCTTCCTGAACAAAAGTTCTAGAGAGAAAAAGGGTAGGCCTAAAGAAAAAGTATACATCAGCTAAAAAAAAAGGCAGGTAGTTATTTATGCAGTATTTGTGCAGTCCTTTTGCCTTCCACAGAAACTCCAAGCCACCCTAACTCTCCCACTACATATAGATCTGCAACAAGTTAAGTTTCAGCTTCACTTTGCTTACATAAAGACAGCTATATAGTCTTAGTATTTACACACATGAACAGTTCATTCACCCAGTGTGGTGCTTTATGACAACCACCACCAAAACTAGACTGACTATAGGTCTTATTTTTAGTAGTACTGATCTGGAGGCACTGCAGATTCTCCAAACAACATTAAAATCCTAACACTTCAGAAACAACCCAATTATTCTGCATGAGGGTGTTACTTTGTAATAGTGCTAGATCACCTCTGCAGAGTTACTGAGCCACTAAAACACAGCCTTTGTTTTCCCTTCCTTTTATAAGAACATTGCTTGTCAAGACATTTGCAGCAATAGTCAGCCTTGCTACTGCTAGTTTTTTAGAGCTATCAAAGAAGCAGAGGGAATAATAAAAAACAAATGAAAAAAGTTTGTTACCAAGCTCAATTATAAAACGGAGCTTTAACACACTTTCAGTTATTTTTTAAATTATTTTCACACAACAATCATTACAATATTTTAGCTCTTAAAAATAACATTAGATTACATTTATAAAGGAAATACTACAGGCAATAACACTGATCAAAAGATTTGTGAACCATGATTCAAGACTGGAACAGAGAAATTACGCATGTTGCAGCTGTGTGTATTAAGTGAAGTTAGAATCATAGAATCATAGAATCGTTTAGGTTGGAAAAGACCTTTAAGACCATCCAGTCCAACCATCAACCTACACTACCAAGTCCACACTAAACCAGTCAAGGGTAGACTAGACTAAACCATGTCCTGAAGTGCCACATCTACCTGTTTTTTGAACACTTCCAGGGATGGTGACTCCACCACCTCTCTGGGCAGCCTGTTCCAATGCTTCACTACTCTTTCCATGAAGAAATTTTTCCTAATATCCAATGTAAGCCTCCCCCAGCACCACTTGAGCCCATTTCCTCTCGTCCTATCGCTAACTATTGGGAGAAGAGATCAACACCCACCTCACTACAGCCTCCTTTCAGGTCATTGTAGAGAGCGATAAGGTCTCCCCTTAGCCTCCTCTTCTCCAGACTAAACAACCCCAGTTCCCTCAGCTGCTCCTCATAAGACCTGTGCTCTAGACCCTTCGCCAGCTTCGTTGCTCTTCTTTGGACACACTCCAGCACCTCAATGTCTTTCTTGTATTGAGGGGCCCAAAACTGGACACAGTATTCCAGGTGTGGCCTCACCAGTGCCGAGTACAGGGGGACAATCACCTCCCTGCTCCTGCTGGCCACACTATTCCTGATATAAGCCAGGATACTTTTGGCCTTCTTGGCTGCCTGGGCACAATGATGGCTCATGTTCAGACGGCTGTTGACCAACACCCCCAGGTCCTTTTCCACCAGGCAGCTTTCCAGCCACTCTTCCCCAAGCCTGTAGTGCTGCATGGGGTAATAAGTTCTTCCTTATTACGGCCCTGATTTGACAATATGCTTATAGCATACACATCTTCATTAGAACTACTCACAGATTGGCTATCCAGTGCACATTTGACACACATCTTTTGAAATGGAAGCCTGTATGACATAATGGAGGATAACTAAAAGTTATTCAGAAGTCCTATTCCATGACTGGTTATTAGTTTAACCATAATTTTCTCAAAAAACCCCATGGTTTAATTGATATAATTTGCCTTTACGGAGTTTAAGGCACAGAACATGCTTCTTACCTGTAACTGTTGATACTTTGTGATGTTAATCTTATCTAATGATTTTCGCAAATCAGGATGATGGATAACATCATCTAAATCTTCTGTGTCTTCAGTTTCAGATGAAGAAGTGCTTTCTACTGTGAGTTTCACAGGAATACCTGTCTAAATACATCAGAAAAGAAAAACACAGCCACTCAGTGTTACACTGCGCAATAAAAATCAAAGATTAAACAGTACCAAAAGCTTAATTTGAATGTAGCCATTTCCCAGAGGCCCTTACAACGCATATACATTGTCCACCTATGCAATTTTGAAATAAATTTGCATAAAACAATATTAAAAAAAAGTATGTCTGCATATATTGGGTATATGTGGCAAGGTGCTGGCGGCGGGGGCTGTGGGGCGGCGCCGGTGCGGAGAGGCCGGG